CATTTTTTAAGAAAAAAAAAAAAAAAAAAAAGTCAACGCCGGAAACCGGCGGTCACGGCCGTTGACCGACCGGAAAAAAATTCAGGAAAACAAAATTCAAAAAAAAAAAAAAAAAAAAAAAAAAAAAAGTCAACGCCGGAGACCGGCGGTCTCCGGCGGAATCTGGCCGGAAAAAAAATATTTCAGAAAAAAAATTATTTTCTGAAAAAAAAAAAGTTTTGGGGGTTAATGTGATATATTTGTTAAAATCCGGGGTCAATGTGTAATATTAAAGAAGTTAGAGCATAATGGGTGGAATTGATACGAATTAGGATTAAAATTGGGGTCAAAATTGAAATTTGGGTTAAAATTGGTTAATTGATGAAATTGGGCTAAATTGGAGTGTAAATCATGAAATTGGAGTTAAATTGGGTTTCAAATGAATTGGGGTAATTTTGGTATATATAAATGGATTTTCCTTATTTGCAAATAAGTTTGAATGGGGTGGATTTATTTGAAAGACAAAAAAGTTGGATGTCCCTATTTTAATTAAGTGCCCTTGTCATGGGCCTATTTGCCATTACCCCAATTTAGAATTAACACATTCAAAGTTGTTTGACATATAAATTATTACACACGATTTTATGAATTTTATAGTACACGTTCAAAATTATGAGATCACATTGAAGGCTATTTAAAGCAAAACAAGAGATTAAAATAGTAATTTCAATAATAAATGAATTATAAGATCTCTTAGCGCTCAAGGAACATATATTAAGAACAATAAACATTTTTTTAATAGATGCCCCTAAAGTACCAATAAATAATATTTTTTATTAATGGTTTTATTTCACTTTGCACCCTTGAAATATAGGTTTTTGGCATTTTGCCCCATTGACAAAAAATAATAGTATTTTGCACCATAAAAGACAATAAATCATTCGCAATGCACCATGAACTGAATAATTAAAAAATAATTAGGGAATTTTCAAATTTTTATTGGTTTTATTTATTTATTTATTTATATGGTGCAAAATAATAACTGAAATTGTTATTTTCTTCTACTTTCAATCTAATTTCGAGCGTGAAAATTGCGTAAAAACAAAATCACACTGAATTGTATATATCTCATTCAATTATGTGATTGATGAATCTTTTTATTGTATTTGGTGAAAATATTTGGTAGAAATAGTTATAAGAAAATATAATTTTCAAATAATTTGATAAGAAAATAGCTGAATTTTTGGTTTTTTTTGTTTTCTTTTCGTAAATTACTTTTGTGTGATAAAAATAATAATTTAAATATGTTGATGAATGATGATATATATGTTTTCTCTTTTTTTTTTTTCACTCTGTAGTTTTGAAATAATTAGATGAATATAAAATTTTTAATTTGACATTTGGCATCCTAAAAAGTTAAAAACATACCATTAAAAAGATGAAATTATCTTCATTAGCTTTAAAAATTCATTTATGTTGCATTATGCATGATTTATTTTGTTTCAATGGTGCAAACTGATATTAATTTTTTTTCGAAGGTGTAAAGTGCCAAAACATTTTATTTGAATGGTGTAAAGTGGAATTAAGCCATTTATTATTCGTTATACTTATGACATTTAGCTAATTATAATACTATTCAAATATGCCGGGTCGAGACCTGCATTATCGGGAAATTCATGTGACATTGACTAAATTAAATTAAATTAAATCAAGAACCAATTTCCATGAAAGTTCATAGAATCTGATTTATGAATAAAATATTAAATACAAGTTCTAACTTCTTTCGATTTATTTTGTTTGTAGTAGTTGGTTGGTTGATTGTATCATTAAGTTATCAATTAGGAATGATGTAAATTACATGACATGTTCATGTGTTGAATGTGTGTATTTAAATTACTAAGTGATTTGATATCCATTTTTTTGTATGGTAGCAACTATAAGAAATTGTGATTTTATATGTTATATTTGTTAACCACAAATTACTGAGTCTGCAAAATATAAATACGAGACAAGAAAAACAAGAACAAATATAATTTATTAATCAAACAAAAGTGAATTACAATCTTTGAGAATTCATCAAATTCTTCTCTCCTAAATCGATTTAAGGGCTCATAAGCTTTTTCTTGAATCGAATAAATATAAAAGCATTGAATTCAAATATGTTATGAATTCGCGGCGGATACTCGAGACTTAAGTTTGAGAGTCCGTTACGTGTCTCTGAAGTTCCTTTTTATAGATACGAGTTAGATTTTTGACTTGTAGCATGGGTCGGTGGACTTGGACATCTGCCATTTGATTTGTCGGATTCGATTTGTGTACAATTAGATAATCTATAAAATAAGAATTTATTATTTAATTAAATCCATTTGTAAAACACAAATAAGTCGTGAACTTCGGTTCGAGACCCAAATTAATAACCGACTAAATTGGCTATGAATCACTGATTTATTCTGAAATTCAAGTGTCAACAATATTAAATAAACTAGTATTATTCCGACCGTATTATTTTCATATGTGATGCACGAGATAATATTTCAAAAACATAAACATTATTAGTTTTAAAACATGAAATAAAATAAATTTTATTAGTAATATTTACAAAACATAAATGTTCATACAAATATGATATATAATACAAAGGAGTTCGTCAAAAGATTATATAACATGAATAAAGTTCAATGTCTACCACTAGTGTGTGATGCATTGTCTAAGCCGTGATGCCATCATACTTTCGTTGACTTTTTTAATTTTATTTTTTGGAGAAATAAATTTTCGTTGACTGTTATTTAATTCTTATCAAGATTATTAAGGCAATTAAGATATGCATTATTGTAATCTTTGTCCCAATTACTTGCCTTTGAAAAAGAAAAACAAAAGAAAGTAAAAAATAACTAAAAACGCGTGAGGGGCAATTTAGTCATTTAAGCACGACAAATTCCGCGAAATTCGATAGCAGTGAAGGGTAGTAACGTCAATTTACAATCTTACTTTCAAATCGAGAATTGATATATAACGGTGTAAAAAGAGTGCGCAAATGGAAACACACTGAAACCAACAACACATCTTCTAAAATGGAACGAAGTGCAAAATCTGTATAATAATTCGTACCAAAAGGGGGAAAAAAAGTGAGCTATTGCAATTTGCAACGGTCGAATTTTTGAAGAAAAAAAAAATGGCGGATTCGACCAATGAGCAGTCGAGTTTTTGGACTCAGGCCAACGCTTTGCTGAGGAAGAATCTGATTTTTCAGGCGAGTACATTTTTTGAGTTCTGTTTGATTCAGTTTTTGGATTGTTTGTTGGTTTATTTTCCTTTTTTGTTGTATTTTTCCCTTGAAAAATTTATGAATTATTTGAGGATTTAAGGTTTGATTTACCGTGGAAATGGCATTTGTAAATGATGTATGGGCTGCACTTAATTAAATTCTATGTAATTTGAACTTTTGTTGTTTTTTTGATTAAATTATTTATTTCATTTTATTTAACTCTGGTAAAAGTCAATTAACTCTGATTTCTTGAGTCGAACTGTGTAAACATACAATTTCGTGATCACTGTAAATGCATGATGGATTGGATATTTTGTACATCTGCTGCGTCAATGCGCGATGCCTCAATCTGTATTTTAGGTTATTTTTCGGAATAAATTTTGTGATTTTCAGTGATTTTTTGGAAAATGTGTGTTTTTTTCTTCTTTCAAAATGGATGATATGATCTACGGAATCCAAAGTGTCTCGTTAACAGAAAATATATTTCAAAATTTAGATGTCATTTGATCGAAGCTGTTATGAATTAGATACATGTTAGTATTGGAGTGGGGTAATAACGATTGTAAAATGTTGTTTTATATATAGGAATGAAAATAATTGGATGACGTAAATATTTATTGTATTTAGTCTATAATAATGTCATTCTAAACTAGGTTTCGTTTTCATGGTTTCCTTTTGACGGCAGAAACGTAATATGAAGACGAATATTCGCCTCGTTCTATTCCCACTTGTCCTCTGTTTGTTGCTTGTTCTTATCCAAGTATTGGTGAACACTCAATTGGATAAGCCTTCAAACAGGTGTGGCTGCATTTGTGTTGATACAGGGAAAGGTCCGTGTGAAAAAAAGTGTGGGATCGAATACTCAACTTTGGAACAAGCGTCTAGCTGTCCCATTCCTCATCCTCCGGAATGGCTTCCGTTATTACAAGTACCATCCCCGCAATTTCGTGCAGTTAGAACTGATTTTACATCATATGGAGACCTGCCTGGAGATTCATGTAGGAAAACAGGCTCCTGTCCTGTAACTACACTTGTTACAGGGAATAATCAAACATTTGGTCAAAGTATGTACTTCATCTTTTTTTTTTTTTTTTTTTTTTTTTTTTTTTTTAACTATCTCGTTTATATGGAGAGCATGGGGCGGTGTTTAATGCTTCTCTTTTGACTTTATAGCTGTGGCTGGAAACATGTTCTCGAGGCCATTAAATATAGATTCCTCAGATCTTCTGTACAGCTTAGCAGATAATGCTTTGGTTAGTAGTATCTGTTTTTACATATCTTATTGCCGTGGTAAATTTTTTAATTTATTTTTAATTCTGTAATGGTGATGCTACACACTTCATAGCTTAAACTATGTATGTTTTTAGTAATTTATTTTATGGTAATGACTTATGGAGTTCTGTTTTTTCAGGGTTCGGAAACAGATACTCGGTTTACTAATTTTCTGGATACTGCTTTTCTTTCAAATGTTCCGATTGATATTCTTCAGCCTCAATGCTCATCAAATTCTCAAATTTCTGTTACTATCCAATTAGGTGCTACTGCATTGGAAAAAGGTAACTTTCATTGAATTATTTCTCTTTCCAAAGTGTCATTAACTTTGGGAAACAATAGCATTACATGGATGATTAGTTACTTTTTGTGATCTTCATTTGGGATTTCAAATTCAAATTCGCTTACAGCTGGTTCACAAAATAAGTCCATTTAACTTTTCTGAGAACCTATTGTATAAATTCCAGATATACGTTGTGCTCAAGGCTTACAGTTGTGGCGCAATAGTTCTTCCGAGATCAACAGTGAGTTATACAAGGGTTACCTTAAGGGGAATCCGGAGTCAAAGATCAACGAAATTTTAGCAGGTTTGAGAATAAGACTGCATTGTGCAAAAAATGTTTACCTGTTTTATGTGAATGATCTAATTTTTTGTTTCTTTTGTTTCACAGCTTACGATTTTGTGAACTCAAAAGACAATCTGTTCAATGTTACTATATGGTACAATTCCACATATAGGAGTGACACAGGCAATCAGCCTCTAAACTTGATACGGGTGGCTCGTTCAATAAACTTGGTATCTAAATCCTTACCTTCTCTTACTGTATGCATATACAGGCTTCAAATTTTAGTGTCTAATTTAGTGTATGCATGTACAGGCTTCAAATGCCTATCTCCAATCTCTGCTTGGACCAACTGCGGAAATGCTTTTCGAGTTTGTGAAAGAAATGCCAAAGCCCGAAACGAAACTTAGGCTGGATTTTTCTTCTCTCCTTGGGCCACTCTTCTTTACATGGGTCATTGTACAACTGTTTCCTGTAAGTTCAATTAATATTTTCCATTGTGAAGAGATATACTTTAAGTTAATGTTTTCCTGTACGTGCATGTATTTCATTTGAACTTTCAACATTTTATTCTATCTGTTTTCCTCAGCATTCCCTATTTATCTCGATATTTATGTAGGATTAATACGAATCCTTATTATTTTCTTGCAGGTTGTTCTGATATCTTTGGTTTACGAGAAAGAGCACAAACTAAGAATTATGATGAAAATGCACGGGCTTGGAGATGGTCCTTATTGGATGATATCTTATGCTTATTTTTTAGCAATATCTTCAATCTACATGCTATGCTTCGTGCTATTTGGCTCAGCCGTTGGTAAAAATTACATCTACTGAATTAATCATAATTATATAATCCTTTTCGGGTACCGTACAAGTTGCTTAATCACTGATATAATTGGCTTTCAGGGTTGAACTTCTTCAGACTAAATGATTACAGCATCCAGTTTGTCTTTTATTTCCTCTACATAAACTTGCAAATCTGTTTGGCTTTTCTTGTTGCTGATTGGTTTTCGTCCGTGAAGACTGCTACAGGTGTGACCTCAGCATAACAATTTATTAACTTCATGTTCATTTTTTTTTCAATAATATTTCTTGATCTCTAACTAAAACTGTAAAATTCTCAGTCGTGGGATATATGATGGTATTTGGAACTGGCCTCTTGGGTGGATTCCTCTTTCAATTCTTTCTCGAAGATTCTTCATTCTCAAGTAAGTAAAAATAATTATCAGGAACTAGTTTGAGAGTAGGTAGTAGCAATTTCACATCCTTTTAATTTATATTGTCAAACCTGAAATTTTCACCATTCTTCTTGCAAAATAACAGAAAATAAGATTCCATGATAGCAACACGAAGAATAGTTCCATTTTATTCAACAGTGTTAGACCAGATATGAGGTCATTCTGTTTGTAGATATAGAAAAAGGTTAACACTTGGGTTCTCTCAACAATGCAGAAGCAGGGGTAATCGCTATGGAGTTATTTCCAGGGTTTTCCCTGTACCGTGGTTTATACGAGTTTTCACAATACGCGTTCAATGGAAATTATATGGGTACTGGTGGAATGGAATGGAAAGATTTAAATGACAGCAATAACGGAATGAGAGAGGTCTTGATCATTCTTGCAGTGGAATGGCTGGTTGTTTTCGGTGTTGCATATTATGCAGATCAAGTCGTGTCGTCTGGAACAAATCCCCTATCTTTCTTGCGGAAGAAGCAAAAGAATCTCCAATCATCTTTCCGTAAACCTAGCTTGCGAAGGCAGGGTTCTAAAGTTTTTGTTCAGATGGAGAAGCTTGATGTTGATCAAGAGGTAACTTATTGTTTATTGTCATTTTTCTTCATGATTTTCAATTTGATTAAATCATTAGCATTACTTCTCCAATCTGTTATTTCTATAGCTGCATATTCCTCGTCGTATTATCTCAATTTTTCACTCTTTTGTATTATTTTAGAGGGAGAAAGTTGAGCAGTTACTACTGGAATCAAGTACAAGTCATTCAATTATATGCAATAACCTCAAAAAGATATATCCAAGTAGGGACGGAAATCCCGAGAAATTTGCAGTAAGAGAGCTCTCACTTGCTTTGCCGCAAGGAGAATGCTTTGGCATGCTTGGTCCTAATGGTGCTGGCAAAACTTCGTTCATCAACATGGTTAGTTCTCGGCCTTGGTTCTTTTATTTATTTTTTTATTTTATGATATTTAATCATATTTCTGTTTCTTCAGATGATTGGGCTCATAAAGCCGAGCTCTGGAACTGCATATGTTCAAGGATTAGATATACGCACTGATATGGATAGAATATACACCAGCATGGGTGTGTGTCCGCAACACGAGTAAGCATCAATTTGAACTATATGGTTATAGCCGATTTGGAGTTTTAAATTCATGATTTTAGGAGTACATCCGAGTTAATTTTATCCACTTTAAAACAATTTGCAGCTTACTGTGGGAAACTTTAACGGGAAGAGAGCATCTACTTTTCTACGGAAGGCTTAAAAATCTCAAAGGTGCTGCCCTAACACAAGTAAGTCTACTTTTCGGGTCAGGCCAATGGCTGGTGCGAAAAGTTTTTGGACTAACCAAATATCAAACAAAGCTCCGATTTATTTAATTAACCATGGATTATTTTGCCAACCAAACGAGACTGTATTATGTATTTTCGATCATGCAAGTTGGCATGTGAGTGATGCTGGTTTTGTAGATTTATAATTTCATCTGCATTTCGATATATTTACGCAGGCAGTAGAAGAATCGCTTAAGAGTGTGAACTTATTCCATGGTGGCGTGGCGGACAGAAAAGCGGGGAAATATAGTGGAGGCATGAAGAGGAGACTTAGTGTCGCCATTTCACTTATCGGAGATCCAAAAGTACGTACATCCATATCCTTATCTTAATTTCAACTCAAGTTTAGTTATACATTTCGTTAATGTTAACCTATTATACTCATAAAATTGGTTATTCGAAGGTGGTGTATATGGATGAGCCGAGTACTGGATTAGATCCTGCTTCAAGAAACATGTTGTGGAACGTAGTTAAACGTGCCAAGCAAAACAGAGCTATAATTCTCACCAGTAAGACTTTCATTTTCTTTCGGTTTTCCACACTCATGCGCACACGCTAAATTATGTATGCGTGCATGCATGGAAAATTTTCGATTTACTATGGTAGTAATTCCAGCATCTTATTTGATGATTCAGCGCATTCAATGGAAGAGGCAGAACATCTATGCGACCGTCTCGGAATTTTTGTGGATGGAAGCTTGCAATGTGTCGGAAACCCGAAAGAGGTAATTTTCAAAATGTCGTCCGTCAATTCACGTTTTATATTTCACGAGTTATCCTAAAACTCAGGCATCCACGGTTCGAAATTGACAGCTCAAGGGTAGATACGGAGGATCGTACGTATTCACGATGACAACATCCCCGACTCACGAGGAAGAAGTAGAGAACTTGGTAAACCAACTCTCCCCGAATGCAACAAAGGTATACCAAATCTCAGGTACGCAAAAGTTCGAGTTGCCAAAAAACGACATAAGAATAGCAGACGTGTTTGAAGCAGTCGGCAACGCAAAGAGTAGATTCACTGTTCAGGCTTGGGGCCTAGCAGACACTACTTTAGAGGATGTATTTATTAAGGTTGCAAAAGGGTCTCAAGCAGACAGTACTCTCTCGTGAGTCGATTTCATATAGCTTTCGTATATTGTTGTGTATTATGGATTGAGAGATGATTCTGCGTAAATTTTACAGTTTTGTTTGTACATTTTGATGTATTAGTTAAACTGATGCTTGTGTTGATGTAAAGATTTTCTTGAAGTGCAAATATGAAAATACATTTGTTGCAAGTAAAAGTACATGTTCACTAAAGGAACCAAATTACTCCCAATATTTCTCTTTTTATTTGACAAAACCCCCCCTCGACTTTTTATCCTCCAAATTACCCCCAATATTTCTCTTTTTATTCGACAAAACACCCCCTCCCCCCAAATTTATATTCTCCAAATTACCTCCAATTTTTCTCTTTTTATTCGACAAAACACCCCCTCGAATTTTTTATCTTCCAAATTACCCCCAATATTTCTCTTTTTATTTGACAAAAACCCCCCTCAAATTTTTATCCTCCAAATTACCTCCAATTTTTCTCTTTGAACTATAGTAAACCTCTATAATACAGTCCGGATTAACAAAATGTACATGATATGCCTAATTGGGCCAACCCAATGGGCCTACAATTTCTTTATCTAATGGGCCACGAACCCAATATTTAAGACCACTATCACCGAGGCCCAATCACCTTCAAGTAAGGTTTGGGCCCGACAATCTCAACTAAGCTATAAATAAATGTTTGAACTCATTCCTTAAGGTACGTCTAGGGGTGAAAGTCGGATGGATCGGATCGGAATTAGCCTTTTCGGAAAATTTCCAAAAAATTTCGGAAGTACAAAATCAATTCCAACTCCAATTCCAAAATTTTCGGAATCTAAAAATTCATTCCAATTCCAAAAGTCTCGGAATTTTCGGAATTTCGGAAAAAAATCGGAAATCACATGAGCTTAAAAATTTCAAAACTTAGCGAATTTTTTTTAAAATGTTCACAATTTTCCAAAAATAAGAACATCCACGTCGATAAAAGTAAAACTAATAACTATTAAATTTCAGTTCAAAAAATAAATAAACATAAACACAACATAATATTTAATAAAACTTCTAACAACAATTCATTATGTCAAAATCCTAAAACAAAACTTAAAGGTGTATTTTTCGGAAAGATAAGTATTATATAATATTTATTATTTATAGGTGTATTTTTCGGAAAAACATCGGAATTTTTCGGAATCAAATCGGATCGGAAATCGGAAATTCCAAATTTATTTTATATAATTCCAATTCCAATCCAAAAAAATCGGAAAAATTCGGAAATCGGAATTTCGGAAGTCGGAATGAAAAAAGTTGTTCAAAAATTGGAACTTTTCGGATCGGAACCGGCGGAAATTGGAATTTCCGTTCCAACTTGCACCCCTAGGTACGTCCTATTATCTGAGTAATACTACAACTGTATTCTCTGGACTATTTTCTATGATCAGCACGTCTGACTTGAGCGTCGGAGGGGTTTCCGCCGGATCAACCCCCGGCTTAGTTCATGTGTTCCATGATCGCAGGTATCTCAAGGTTATCAAGCTCGTGAGCCAGTGATCCATTCTGCTCTTCCAGCTCATCTTACTTCAACTCTCTAAGGTGATCTATCTTTAACATCATCAGTATAAATTTAGTAAAATATTAAATTATCGAAAAAAATAATTGAGTACGTTTTTACCGAGTAGGAATTGGAAAACAAAATATTATTTAAGCGAGGTTAATTTATCGAGTTTCTATTTGAGCTGAAAATGAACGAAACATTAGTTATACGCGTGAGGGGCAATATAGTCATTTAAACTCGATAAATTCCGCGAAATTCCCAGCGAACGTAATTCGAGTCTTACTTTGAATCGTAAATTGATAAGTATAAACAGAGTGCTAATGGGAACACTGAACCCAAAATATCTTTCTATGGAACGAAATTCAAACTCTGCAGAATAATTCGTAAAAGAAAAAAAATCTGCTGAATTCGAAAAGCATGGCGGATTCTTCAAACGCGCCGTCGAGTTTTTGGACTCAAGCCAACGCTTTGCTGAGGAAGAACCTGATTTTTCAGGCGAGTTCATTATCGAGTTCCTTTTTCCCTCGAATTTCGGATTTTTTTTTAGGTTTATTTAATTTCAGTTCAAATTCATTTCATGCTTTTGTTAATACTTTTCTACTGTGTTAGTTTTATTTACCTCACATGCAATTTCAGAATTTTATTTTTTGGTGTACTAGTGGGGATGTAGTTGGCTTTAATGATCGAAGAATTGTGACTTTTTGTGGAGAAATCACTGTTGAAGGCTGTTGTTGTTGTTCCACGGATTTTTTTTCGTCTTTCTAATTTTTTTGGGTAAATTACGGCCATCCAGGTCAAATTACAAAAAAACCCCTCTTGTTTGGATAATTACAACCACCCGTTCACCCTTGCAGTGTCAAATTTAGTGGAATCTTCTAAATTATGTGGAGTATTCTCCGATTTGTACCCGTTTTATCACATTCGAGCTCCATATTTTGAAACAAGATGATCATAAGACGTGTCTATTGGGCCATTGGCTTGTAAATATTAGATTGTGGTGCATCTGAAAACTGCCTTTTTGCACAGAACGAGTACAAATTAGTGAACAGTCCATGGAATCTAAGGAGATTTTTTTGAATTTGACACCATAAAAGTGGACGTGTAAAAAGATTCATAGTTGAGTTGTAGTTTCCCAAACATGAGGGATTTATCCGTAATTTGACCTTACCTCTGGGGGGTCCCCGTAATTTACCCATTTTTTTTCTTTCTATGGTGCACTTAGATTCTATTTAATTTGAATTTATGTTGAATCTTGTGATTATAGTTTTATATTGCGACCACGTAGTAGTCAATTCAACTCTGCTGTAACTTTATATGCCTCAGTCTGAAAGTTTATGCTATGTTTGGAATCAGTTTGGGGAGTTTCAGTGAAATGTTTTTGGAAAATGCGTGTTGGGATTGTACTTGTACCGCGTATTTCCGGGAGAATGAATATGTGTTGTTTTTGTTTTTCAAAATGGATAATGTCATCTATGAATAAAATTGTGTTTCGTTTCAATGAACAGATAATATATTCCTCAGCGTAGAGGTCATTTTATCTAAGCTTTTGTCTGTTAGTGTTACATCAAGCTTTTATATATGCATTTTTGTATTGGATTAATATTATGATTGCAAAATGTTTATTAATATCAATGCGGAAGGGAAAAGAAAGCATTTGGTATTATAAACTTCACTAGCATTTAATCTATGATAATGTTATTCTAAACTGGTTTCATGTTCATTTTTTTCCCTTTTCATGCAGAAACGTAATATCAAGACAAATATTCGACTCGTTCTATTCCCACTTTTCCTCTGTTTGTTGCTTGTTCTCATCCAAATGTTGGTGAACAGTGAATTAGATAAGCCCTCAAGAAGGTGTGGCTGCACTTGTGTTGATACAGGGAATGGCCAATGCGAAACAAGGTGTGGGATCGAATACTCGACTTTGGACCAAGCGTTCAGCTGTCCCATTCCCCATCCTCCGGAATGGCCTCCGTTATTACAAGTGCCAGCTCAGCAATATCGTGCTGTTAGAACTGATGTTACATCATATGGAGACCTGCCTGGAGATTCATGCAAGCAAACAGGTTCCTGTCCCGTAACTACGCTTATTACAGGGAATAACCAAACATTTGGTCAAAGTATGTCCATTTCATCTTTTATTTTATTTTATTAATATCTTGTTTTTAAGGAGAGCATGAGGTGATGCTTAACCTCTTCCTTTGACTTTATAGCGGTGGCTGGAAACATGTTATCGAGGCCATTAAATATAAATTTCTCAGATATTCTGCACAGCTTAGCAGATTATGCCTTGGTCAGTGGTATTTCTTTTTATACTCCTATTCTTTGGTAATTGTTTATTTTTTCCTTCATATCTTAAACTGAGTGTTTTAATAATTCTGGTTTTTCAGGGTTCGGAATCAAAAACCCGGGTTGTCAGTTTTATTGATTCTGCTTTTCTTTCAAGTTTTCCCGTTGACCTTCTTCAACCTCAATGCCTATCAACATCTCGATTTTCTGTTGCTATCAAATTAGGTTCTGCTACATTACAACAAGGTAGGATTAATATTGTTTTCAAAATGTTGTTAGAAAAAAGGTAGTCTAGTAACTATTAAGATCTTCAGTTTAACATTTCCTTGAACTTACTGTATAAAATCCAGATGTACGTTGCGCACAAGGCTTACAATTGTGGCGCAATAGTTCTACCGAGATCAATGATGAGCTGTACAAGGGTTACCGTAAGGGGAATCCGGAGAGAAAGATTAATGAGATATTAGCAGGTTTGCGAATAAGACGGCATTGTGATAAAAATTAACCAGTTTAATGTGAAAATGACATAATTAATTGTCTCCTTCGTTTCGCAGCTTATGATTTCGAGAATTCAAACGAGAATCTATTCAATGTTACCGTATGGTACAATTCTACGTATAAGAACGACACAGGCAATCAGCCTCTTTCCTTGATACGGGTGCCTCGTTCAATAAATTTGGTTAGTAAAATCATTACCTTCTCTTATTGAATTCAATTTTCTCACTTTATTTTCTTTACATGGTACACTTGATTTTTAAAACAATACACAGGCGTCAAATGCCTATCTTCAATTTCTGCTTGGACCAACCACAAAAATGCTTTTCGAGTTTGTGAAAGAAATGCCAAAGTCTGGAACAAAACTCAGGCTAGATTTCTCATCTCTCCTCGGGCCACTCTTCTTTACATGGGTTATTGTACAGCTGTTTCCTGTGAGTTCCAATTAATATTTTCCTTCGTAAAATTATTGATACAGTACATTAGCATTAGTGTCATTAATGCTATTATCTTCGTATTTTGTTGCAGGTTGTACTAACATCTTTGGTTTACGAGAAAGAGCACAGACTAAGAATTATGATGAAAATGCACGGGCTTGGAGATGGACCTTATTGGATGATATCTTACGCTTATTTTCTAGCAATATCTTCAATCTACATGCTATGCTTTGTCATATTTGGCTCTGCCATCGGTAAAATAAATTATATATTAAATCCTTTTCGGGTTCCGTAGAAGTTGCTTAACTTAATCCCTGATATATTTGGTTTTCAGGATTAAACTTCTTCAGACTAAACGATTATAGCATCCAGTTTGTGTTTTATTTCCTCTTCATAAATTTGCAAATTTGTTTGGCTTTTCTTGTTGCTGATTGGTTTTCTACCGTGAAGACTGCTACAGGTACGACCTCAGTGTTTATTATATAGTTAATTCATGACATGTTTATTATATAATTTTTTAATGACATTTCGTCGAAAACCGTAAAAAATCTCAGTTGTGGGGTATATGATGGTATTTGGAACTGGGCTCTTGGGTGGCTTCCTTTTTCAGTTCTTTCTCCAAGATTCGTCGTTCCCAAGTACGTCACTTCTTATTTTTCTTTTTATATAATGCTATACGTTATCAAATTCTTTGTTTAACTGTTCACTGTTATGAACAAGGCGAAAGTTCTTTTTTTTTTTCTTTAATTGATTAATATAGACTGAAAAGTAATGGCAAATAGATCTGCTTAGTTTATTAATTATGAATCTTTTGTCAACCTTCTCATTTACAATAACACTGTTCTTTCTTGTACTACATTACTTGTGTGTATAATTTTTATCTAGCCCCGTAACTATTCTTTTAATCAATCTGCAGAAGCAGGGATAATCGCTATGGAGTTATTTCCAGGATTTTCCCTTTATCGTGGGTTATATGAGTTTTCACAATACGCGTTCAATGGAAATTATATGGGAACTGGTGGAATGCAATGGAAAGATTTAAATGATAGCAATAACGGAATGAGAGATGTCTTGATCATCATTGCAGTCGAATGGTTAGTCGTTCTTTGTACTGCTTATTATGCAGATCAAGTTGTGTCATCTGGAAAAAATCCTCTATTTTTCTTGCGGAAGAAGCAAAAAAACCTCTCGTCATCCTCCTTCCGTAAACCGAGCTTGCAAAGGCAGGGCTCTAAAGTTTTTGTTCAGATGGAGAAGCTTGATGTTGACCAAGAGGTAACCTATATCGGAAATTATTTTTCTTCTCGATTTATTGTTTTAATTCAATAGTTGCATCATATTTGTTTATCTATTTTTTATTATTTTTTTTTGGTGTATTTAATTTAGAGGGAGAAGGTTGAACAGTTACTACTGGAATCAAGTACAAGTCATTCAATCATATGCAATAATCTCAAAAAGATATATCCAAGTAGGGACGGAAACCCCGAGAAATTTGCAGTAAGAGAGCTCTCACTTGCTTTGGCAGAGGGAGAATGCTTTGGTATGCTTGGTCCTAATGGGGCTGGTAAAACTTCATTCATCAACATGGTTAGTTCTCGGCCTTGGTTCTTTTATTGATTTTTATTTTATGACATTTAATTTAATCATATTTTTGTTTTTTCAGATGATTGGGCTCATAAAGCCAAGCTCTGGAACTGCATACGTTCAAGGACTAGATATACGCACTGATATGGATAGAATTTATACCAGCATGGGTGTGTGTCCGCAACACGAGTAAGCATCAACTTGAACCATATGGAGTTTTAAATTCACGATTTCAGAAGGGCATTCGTGTAAACTTTTTAAAAACAATTTGCAGCTTACTGTGGGAAACTTTAACGGGAAGAGAGCACCTATATTTCTATGGAAGGCTTAAAAATCTCCAAGGTGCTGCCCTAACACAAGTAAGTCTATATAGTGAGAAACTTCAAGAAATTGAAAGTACATGCACAAACGCAGGTTGAAAGCATTAATAATACTCTGTAACTATCATATGTATAAACTGTGTACGTCGCTGCTATTTACAGTACATATTAGGAAACAAATTTTCCTAAATCTAAAAGCAGATTCGAAGGGATAATAAATTCAGGATTTCAGCACTTCCCCTCAAGTGGGATCATAGATGTTAATCATGTCCAACTCGTTTAAGAAATTATCGATATTCAGTTTGATATTGAGTAGGAACATATGTACAAACTGTGTGCATGTCTGCTATTTATAACACAATTAGGAAAATCAAATCTCTTAAAACAAAACAAATTAGAAAACAAATTATCCTAATCTAAAAGCAGATTCGAAGGAAAAAAATAGGGATTTCTACACATATGTACAATTTCCGTCAACTAAAGACTACAAATATGAATATCTCAGTTCTACCGTCATTAGTTCATCACCATATACGAGAAAAGATTGCTCCATTAGATTGTAGTTAGTTATTACTTTTTTATCTGGCTAAATGTGTCACAACGAGATGAGTTATGAATGGAATGGCCATACAATTTGCCATGTGATTAATGCAGGTTTTGTAGATTTATAATTTCATCTACATTTCTATATATTTACGCAGGCAGTGGAAGAATCTCTTAAGAGTGTAAACTTATTTCATGGTGGCGTGGCAGACAAAAAAGCGGGGAAATATAGTGGAGGCATGAAGAGGAGACTTAGTGTCGCCATTTCACTTATCGGAGATCCAAAAGTACGTACATCCATATCCTTAATATTTAGTTTCGATTCGTGTTTAGTTCGACATTAAGTTATTAGTTTTGTTAAAGTTGTTACCTTATTCTACTAAAAAATTGGTTATTCGAAGGTGGTGTATATGGATGAGCCAAGTACTGGATTAGATCCTGCTTCAAGAAACATGTTGTGGAACGTAGTGAAACGTGCTAAGCAAAACAGAGCTATAATTCTCACCAGTAATACTTTCCTTCTCTTTTGCTTTTCCACGCCAATTCACACACTAAATTATCTAAGAGTGCATGCATGGAATATTTTAGATTTACAAGCGTTGCACGTAAAAAAACATCTTAGTGAGACATCTTATTTGATAATTCAGCGCATTCAATGGAAGAGGCAGAACATTTATGTGACCGTCTTGGAATTTTTGTCGATGGAAGCTTGCAATGTGTCGGAAACCCTAAAGAGGTAACGTTACTACAGTGTTGGTCGTCAATGCACGTTTTATTTTTCACGAGTTATCATCTTTACATTGTATATATTGAAACTCATATTTGTACCTTCTTCCAATCTTGTTACCTTATCATATAACTTTTGTATTTACGGTTCTATAGTTTGTACGTGTTGCGTTACATGAACTATTTTGCATTGCATCTTAGCCGTTTATTTACAATATTTTCCAAAATGACAGCTCAAGGGTAGATACGGGGGATCGTATGTATTCACGATGACAACATCTCCGACTCACGAGGAAGAAGTAGAGAAGTTAGTACAACAACTCTCACCAAATGCAACAAAGGTATACCAAATCTCAGGTACACAAAAATTCGAGTTGCCAAAAAACGAGATAAGAATAGCAGATGTGTTTGAAGCAGTAGAGAATGCAAAGAGTAGATTCACCGTTCAGGCGTGGGGTCTGGCAGACACAACATTAGAGGACGTCTTTATTAAGGTTGCAAGAGGGGCTCAAGAAATCAGCACTCTTTCGTAATAACACGATTGAAAGGATGTGAGTTGGTCGATTCTATAGCTTCATATATATATATATATATATATATATATATATATTATTGCTTGAGAGATGCTTCTGCATAATTTTACGGTTTTGTGTTTTGTACATTTGAAGTATATGATTACTTGAACTAATACTTGTGTAGATGTGAATTCTTAGAGTCGAGATATGGTAAATTTGTTGTAAGTAGAAGCATATGTTCACTATGAATTTGAATATAGCCAACAAGAAATTGGGTACGATCTAAGCATCTCATTTTGTGCAGTTAGCTGCGAGGTATTTGGTTTCTGATTTTGAACTGATAGTCCGTTTAATGTGTTTCAAGTTGGTGTGGTTCGGGAGTGTGTATCAACAGTTCATTGATGTGAAAATTATAAGTCAAGAGTCCAATTTGCCTTGGTCCTTTTGTTGTTTGTTTGTTCCCGGCCCCAAATTTTCTGTTTTTGGATGTCAAAGTTTCATTCCGATTTCAGAAATTTCGATTTTTGATTTTTTTTCCCCAATTTTTTAGATCTATAGGAAAGATGATGAGCGAAACTCGATAACACCCCCTGTATTATGATTCGTATTATGATTCGTATATGGGTTATGAAGACCCATTTTACAGTTTCACTTGGGCTCCTCATGACATCACATCATGTCACCATCACCACTTGCGATCTTCATTTTACACTTGTTTCCTCTACTAACATACCTCAATCCATAGATTCACCGAGTAATAACGGGGCAGATGAGGGTGAACAAGTTGGTCGCTCTTCTGGGTCTCTGTTTTAATATACATTTTCCATTCGTTTAATTCATCTTCTCCGGCGACAAGACGGTCATTAGGTGGGCTTTTCGGCGGCTACGGGAGTAGGGTTTGGAAGGAGGTCTTGAAGTATAGATCTTACATCATCAAAGAATATCTATGTTTCAATAATATTTTTGGTCGAATACATGATGACATAATGAAAAAGGACTCCCGGTGCCATCTAGATCATTACATTTGCTTATATATGGAGCTTTTCAAATGGATATTTCCTATTTTAGAATCCTTAATTTGTTCGAGATTCATAACATGATTTCCGCGTTAGGTTCTCTGATTTCCTTATTTATTTACGGAAAAAATCCACGAATCAAGCCTTCCAACAGTCAGGAGATCAGCTCGCCATATACCGCACCTTCTCCTCATCCATTGTACGGCACGCTGGAAGTGGAGCAAAGCTCTTTAGCTCAACCATGCGAAGCCTAGGTCAGCGAATCCTTCTCTGGGCGAACTGTTGATCTACTAAGCGAACTGACGGCCCATTTCGGTTCTTATAATTCGTTGGGCTTTTGGCCCAATAGTCTTGAATATGGGGAGTTCGGCCCAATGGTACCAAACTAACCCCCATCATTTATCAACCACTATTCTCTAATGAACCTTATGAAGTGGTTCGATAGGAAATAAAAGGACGAAGTAAAGATATTCGTTCATTTTTTCTCGAAACCAAGCAAATTTATTACACGCCATAATGGTTGCAATCTCCACTTCGACTGTCGTGCATGTCGTATGTGCCGTCGAACTTTATTTCTATCCCTTTGATCCTGTTTTAGAACCAACGGCCCAAATTCCAACCCTCCCCAAGTGGCCACCTGACCCTAAATTTGAATGTTCCGGATGATCAGGGTGGAAGAGGCACGCATGCCTTGATGCGGTATTTCTTTGCCTTTCAAGCGACCGCCTACAATGCTCGGCTTTTTTGTCTTCCCCGCCCATCCGCTACTATATATACTGTCTCCCTTCTTTCTCATTCACTTTTCCGATTCCCCTCTTTTCGTAATTATTTACGACGCCGCATACCTATTTTACACCTTCGTCTTGCTGCCGCAATTGGGCCCCACTCAATCGTAATGACGATCATCCTTCTTGGAGTTTCTTAGAAAACAATTCTAGGTACTACCCTTTTCTCCTCCTGTGCTCTTGAGTCTTACCCACTTAACTTATTTGAGTATGTCGGATATAAAATCCATTCGATCGAGTTTTTGACATAAACAAAACTCATAAGCTACTAAGGGCTCGTTTGGTTTGAGTGATAAGGGGTTATTGACTAATTAATCCAACTGAATCAGACGTTTGGTTAGAGTGATTAAAGCCCATGATTGATGGCTGGCCTGGTTTTTAATCCCCTACTTGAGTGATAACTTGTCCACCCAATATTGGGTGGATTACACAATCCCAAACAAATGAATACAGCTGGCATAGGGTAGTTTACAGTAATACCCTCATCAATAAATTCAATTAAGCAAAATATCTGCTTTTCCCACCCACTTCACACACAATCTTACCAATAACAGCAGATCCCCATTCGAACCAATTTTCTTTTTTCCATTTTTTGCTTCACAGGTGTTCTTCAACAGAGAAAGAACAATCACTGGGTAAATTAAATCGTATACATATTTTTTCGTGGATTCATTACATCTTCATCCCGCATTCTCTATTTTTTTGAATTCGTTGAAGAATCGAACACAAGAAGGTGTTCGTTCCGGCGTCGGTGCTCCTACTAACTCATACGCAGGATCGGTGAGCTAAATCTTCCTTTTTAATTAACATTTTTTCTACATTTTTTTTACTTATTATTATGATATTGTGGTTCTAATGTGTTGGGTATGGTATTTTAAATTATATTATATGTGTAAACTTGTTATTAATTTTGTTATTGCAGTTTCGTACAATTTTTGTTTGAAATGGATATTAGAGAGGAGCATGAAGAGATCTTGTTGGTTTTGGAAGAAATAATTAACATTTCCAAGTTATTCCTTATGGCATGTTATGGGGCTTATCGTAAGTTAAAAGAACGTCGTGCAATTCGTAATCGTTTAGTGCGTTCTTATATGTCTTATAGTTTGAATGCTCGAGTGCCCGACCAATTAGAAAAAAATAATAGATTGATACACGGTACTGATGTACATTGTTTTGATAATTTGCGTATGTCTAAAAATGCATTTTTCCGGCTGTGTTTTCTAATTCAGAATTTTGGTGGCTTAGTTGATACACGAAATGTAAAAGTGAATGAACAATTGGCCATTTTCTTGCATATATTGGGACATCATACAAAAAATAGAATTGTAGGGTATAATTTCAATAGATCGGGGTATACGGTTAGTAAGCACTTCAATATTGTTCTAAATGCTGTAATTAAGCTATACCCGTTGTTGATTGTGAAGCCAACACCTATTGATGAGGGGTGTACAGACGTTCGGTGGAAACCGTTTAAGGTAATAAAGACATGTAGTTTACCTATATATATGTTTAGTAATCTGCAAACGAAGTGTTGTGAAACTTGTTGGTTTCAATGTGTAGGGATGTTTAGGAGCATTAGATGGTACTTATATAAAAGTTAGGGTTGCTTAACTAGAAAATGCGCGCTATAGAAATCGCAAAGGAGATATCTCAGTCAATGTGCTAGGTGTATGTGATGCAACCTTGTGTTATAGTTATATTTTGACTGGATGGGAGGGTTCCGCTGCTGATAGTAGAGTCCTTCGAGATGTCGTTTGTAGACCTCATGGTTTGAGAATTCCCGATGGTACTGATCCTTTCCAAACCTCTTTCAATATTTTTTAACATATCTGTGATTTAAAAATATTTTTCATTTTGTGGATTTCAGGAAATTACCCTTTGCGATAATGGCTACACAAATGGAGAGGGGTTTTTAGCCCCGTATAGAGGTGTTAGGTATCACTTGGATGAATGGGATGGTAATAATGCTCCTAAAGATTATAAGGAATATTTTAATATGAAGCATGCCAAGGCTCGAAATGTAATAGAAAGATCGTTTGGGTTATTGAAGTCACGTTGGGGCATATTGCGTACTAGTTCCCATTACCCTATCAAAGTCCACAACCGTATTATTATAGCTTGTTGCTTGTTACAAAATTTCATTCGTAAAGAGATGCCCGTAGACCCATTGGAAGCAAGTCTCCGGCCAATCCATAACCCCAGCAACGATCCCGCACTTAGGTTTATTGAAAGTGTGGAAACCTCACAACAATGGGTGTCGTGGAGGGACGATATAGCTAGAGCTATGTACGATGAGTGGAGGGCCAGACGATAATTTTAGTTACTGTGTTATTTGCATCACTATGTATTTGTTGGGGATCGTGCATGTATACGCAGCGGAATTTAAAAATTTTATATCGAACTAGTTTCGATTACATGCAATACTAATCACATAGTCAACGTACCTTAACGCTTCCGCCATACATATGGTAATTTTCGATTTAATTGAAAAATACATAAAACCGAAAAATCACGAAACATGCTTATTCATCATTCAATAAGATCGAAACATGTAATCACGTATTACTCATGCTTGCAAATTAATAATCATACAAACATGTTCGAATCGAATTACGAAAGTTCCGATTTGATTACCTCTTGTAGCGTGAGATTTCGACGAATCGAAATCCTAGAACGAGTCACGTACAAGCTGCTAATTACCAATCCACGGGGCTGCACCTCACGGCTGGACCGAGCTGATCCAGCAAGCAACGAGCGGCGACGAACGGCAGCAGCAGCGGCGGCGCGTGGCAGCGGCGGCGCGTGAGCGGCGGTGCGGCGCGTGCGGTGGTGCACGGATTCGTCGGGGCAGCAGCTCCTCTCCAATTAGGTTTCACCTCGTATTTTCGACCCACTCGAACTATAGCACTAGATATAAACGAGTTAGATAACAACACGAATAAAACGAAGGAGAAAGAGGAGAAAACCGGCGGTGTTTCCGGCGGTGGTCGGCGGTGGCGCGGCGGAGATGCAACGGCCGAGAGGTGTTGAGCGGCTAGGGTTTTTTTGCTGAAAAATCTGATCTCAAAACTCCTTTTGAGGTCTATTTATACCTAGGGTTTTCAACCCTAGCGGGCTTAAGTCATTGGGCTTGACCCACTGATGCATTAAGCCCATCCCCTTGTCGGCCTCGTTTCTAACAAACGATCGTCCACAAAATTATAACAAAATTATATTTGTGACGAGCTCAAAGTCCTCGTCGATACGAGTGCCTCTTCGAAATTTCCAATTTCCAAAATTGGAAACTTCCACTTCAGTGGACTTGCTAAATCGGGAAGCTTCCCAATTTAGAAAGTTCACTAAATTCCGCATGTCTCTCTTTCTCTACGTTTATTCCAATTCGCAATTCACAATTGCGAATCTTGGATTCAATCATATCGACATCCAATCGTTCAAAGATTAACACATTAATCTATGCTTGTTGTTATCAAGGATCTATATTACACGAGAAGTGTGACCCTCAATGGTTCAGGTGTATGCTAGCCGTGGGCTCACAACTCTTTGTGATTCGAACAACACATTGTTCTTATACGAACTCCTCCCAAGAGTCCCGATTAGAGTAAAACTCATTTTACCTAATCCCGATCAAATCGGTGCCCAA